AGACAGACAGACAGACAGACAGACAGACAGACAGACAGACAGACAGACAGAGACTTCTTGCTGGGACTCCTAATAAAGGAATAATTGATTTAACTACAGAGGGTTTGTTGTGTTTGGGAGCCGGGTTAGAGCAGGAATTTTGAGCCCATGTGGTAAGTGGCTACCATGGTGGGCGTGGCAGTGACAAAATACTCCCAATTTACTAGAAGGTGAACTAGCCCCCCAATGGGTTCTTTGGAGCATTTAAAGTCATAATCTCTGGTTGGGAGACTTAGGAGGAAATCTGACCCTGGGTAAACACTAGGACTGTGGTGTAAATGCTGGTTGTAAACGTCACTATGTGCAGAGTAAAGCATAAAAAGCCTTTATGTTGTAACAGATCCCCAAATCCACAGGAACTCACTGTTGCTAGGATTTTGCTGGAACCTGTTTTCCCTCCCAGGCACCCTGATTTCCTAACACATTCAAGAGGTCTAGATAAAGTTAGGTTGGAGAAGGAGATTATCTATTTTATTACAAGCTCACCTATAATATCTAAAAGTGTTTTCTCGCTCAGGTCTGCCTAAAATAGGTTCTATCTAGACATGTGTAAAAGCTGATGCAATTTCTTTCTAATAATGTATTTGTCTTTTTTTGAATGTTTCATTTATACATGTTAAACAGAAAGTTTATGTCCAGGATTGGCCCAGCAGGAGCTCTCCCAGGCTCAAAACTGGAGTCCAGCAGTCCTTGAAGATTGGTACAGTGTGTCAAACCTTTGTGGGGCAAACTCACACATGATGGAGTCATTCAGGTTATTCCTTTTTTTCCCTTTTTTTTCTTTTTTGGCTTAATTTTAAATGCCTAAGTTTAGAGAAGAGCAAATCTAGACACCAAATACTCCACAATTACTAGTGCTGCTATAATGCAATTAAACTGGAATAAATTTCCTTCCCATAGACTCTTCCAAATGGTAAGCATTTGTGCTCAATAAAGGCATACTGTATGTCTCGATAAAAAGAAATTGCACCTGGACAAAAACCTCATCTGGACTTGTCTTGAATGTGCAGTCTTCACAGGTGGTCATCAGAAATAGCCCTGAAGTTTTGCAGATTCATTTCTGAGCAGAATAATTTGGGGAATATTAACTGTTAGTTAGGCATGCAAAATTTTGCTAATTGTTAAACTGCAGTTGGGAAGAGCGATTATGTTTTGGCTTTTATCCATTTTCCTTATTTTTCTTTTTTTCTCTCTCTACAGGATGCTGCAAGCAAGTTCTACTAAAAACGAAGAGGAAACATCAAAATCAGAAGTGGAGCTGAGACAGTCCCTAGCAGAGTTTTATCAGAAAATAAATTCTGAGTGTACAGTTTCATCTCACCCTCAAGATCAGAAAAAGAGATGTATGCAATTTATATATTTTTTACAATCATGCAGATGAAAGCACAAGAGAACATATCACCCTTACTTAAGTAGTCCTTGGCTTATGACCCCAATTAAGAATGGAATTTCTGTTGATCAGCAAAGTGTGGTTAAATGAATTTTACACCCAATTTTATGACTTTTTTTGACATGGTTCTTAAGTGAATCACTCCTGTTGTTGAGTGACTTGTGCGATCATTAAACGAACCTGGCTTCCCCCATTGACTTTGCTTGTCGGAGGCCAGCTGGGAAGGTGACCAATGGCGATCACATGACCCTGGGATGTTGCAACTATTGTAAATATATGCCAGTCGCAAAGACATTTTGATCATGTGACTGGGATGCTGCGACAGTCAAAGTGCAAGGGAGAATGAGAACATTCCCACAGATGAAAATATAATTTAAAAAAAATATTAGAGTGTGCAGAAACGGATAGGTTAATATTAAACATAAAGGACAAATAAGACACAGAATATTTTTGAACATGGGATTTGTTCTATCAATGGTTAGATAATAGAAATAGAAGCTAGAAGTTGAAAGATTATTAATATGAATAAATAAACATTATTATTACTATTACTATGTATAAGTAAATTGACCCAGATAATACACTTTACTACCATAAACACCAATGTATGTTAAAGAAAAATGCATAAAAGTATATAAAAAAATTAAGTGCAAGGACCGGTAGCCAGTTATTTTTTTCAATGCTGCTGTAACCTTGAGCAGTCACTAATCAAATAGCAAGAGCACTTAAGACTTATAAGCTGCTCCTCAGTGCTTTGCAGCCCACTCTAAGCGGTTTATAGAGTCAGAATAGTTGCCCCCAACAATCTGGGTCCTCCTTTTACCCACCTCGGAAGGATGGAAGGCTGAGTCCACCTTGAGCCTGGTGAGATTCAAACTGCCAAATTGCAGGCAGTCAGCAGAAATAGCCTGCAGTACTGCACTCTAACCACTTTGCCACCGAGGCTCGAATGGTTGTAAGACAAGGCTTGCCTGTAAAGATCACATCATTCCTGATAAGTGCTTGTGTGTTGTAGGATCTGTGATGCTACTGATCTATTGGACTCTAATTAAGTTTACATTCCACCTTTTTTTTCCTTCCACCTGTGCAGGTGGGGTTCCCCGGACTCCTATTAGGCAGAAGATGAAAACCATGCCCCGTTCTCTTCAAATGCTGAACGCTGCCATGTTCAACGTGAAAGCTCAAAAACACCAGCCTGGTAGAGAGCTGCCAGCACATAAAAAGCCACGCCAAAGGCTGCTTTCCAGAAGATTGGATGGCAAAGGGGAAGGAAACGGAAGGAAACGGAAAAGCAAGATAGGTGCATGGAAATCAATTTTCTGTCGTGCGTAGTAGGCAAACCAAAAGTCCTGTGTTTCAGAAAAAAGAGTAGCAGTCAAAGCTAGGTGTCTTAGTGCAGATTTAAGAGAGAATTGCAAACATTCTAGAACAGGAGTCTCCAAACCCCAGTCCATGGCCTGGTACTGGTCTACGACCCATTGGGAACCAGGCCACACAATCAGCAGATGCGCGTGCAAAACCCCAATTTGTGCAAGTGGAAGGCACACACGTGAAACCATCCCATCCTCCCACCACTGATCTGCAGAGCCAGAAAGATGGATGGAAAGATTGAACATCCTGCTCTCAGTGAGCTAGTTGACTATGGATGCTTGAATGACATGAGGCTTCTTAGTGTGCTAGGTTAGTCCGTGCAGAGAGATCTGGCTTGTTAGTACTAGAATTGTGAAGGTTGTGAGTGAATAGAAATGCGTGAACGCTGGGGATGAACAACTCAACAAATGAGATGATTATTTGCCCTGTCATTTGTCCCCCTGGTCTTCATACCCCAAGCTTTTCCTGGTCCTCTTGCTGCAAATTCACCATTATAACCTAAGCAATTAGTTACATTCAATTGTGCTGCACAGAATAGTAAAATATTTCATGCTTCTTTGTGTGTGTTTTACAGACTTCAGTACTGAAGATGAAATGCTTTCTTACCTCAATACAAACTACCAGAATGCTATGATGGACGGAGAAAAATTGTTTGCACGTTCTCAAGATATGGTGACAGCTGTTAATACATTTCAGAAATCCAGTGAGGTAGAGTCATTGCTTAGATACACCTGTCTGCCTCCCAGAGGTTTTCCAAAGGTCTTTAAGGGTTAAAAGCACTGAAAGGGAAGCTAAAGAGAACAAGCTTCTATTTCTATATTACAGAAGCATAAATCCCCTGGTGAAATGACATTTGCAATCAAGAAAAATGTTGTTATGTATTTTACCATTCTTTTTGAGTTCAGCTAATTGGGTTTCATGAATTATTTTTGCCTGTCTATCTACACACGTGTTAAGGAACATCCTGCAAAGCATGGCCTTTTGTCAGATGGACAATTGAGTTGGCTTCTTTCTTTCCCAGATCTTTTCTTTTTTTTTTTGTAAAGTTTTATTAATTTTCAAAAAAAAAACAGTACACAAACAAAACATGAGACATAAGAACATAAGACATCTTTTCCGACAACTACTTAACAAAACAAATAAGACATCTCATTTAAGTACAATATAATTCTAAATTATCACATTTCCACATATAACTTAATAAGCATCTTATATATTCAACTTCATATCTTATTACTGTTTTCGACCTTTTTACTGTTTCTTCCTTTATTTCTATTCAGTTTTATTCATTCATATATTTCATCTTACTATATTTCATATTGTTACTATTTTATATGTTCTTATCCAGTATTACTCCTCAATAAACAAATATAAACTAACAAACACATAACATAAAAAATATAAAACTTCTTTTTAGAAAGCGGCTTAACTCCGGGTTATAACTTTTGGTACAGACTTAAATTAAATTCATGCTCAGCTTATATACTATTTCATATCCTGTTAAAGATTCTACATTTTACAGATATCTTCTCCCCTCTTTTCACTCTCTTAATTCTACCTTATTTATTTAATCTCAATTTAAATCATTTCACTTGTATTTTTTGTCCGTTCTTTTTCAATCATCCATTTATCTTTCTCTTGAACACAATCTTGTCCCTGTAATAACTGGTTGAAGTATGACACCTTTCTATTTTCCCCCCAAATTCAACGCTTAAAATTAAACATTATTTCTATTCTGATTCTGCTTAGTACATTCTAAATAACATTTTTTTAAAAAAACAACAACGTAATATTCTTATAGATATTAAAAATAGTATTCCCTAACAAATTAGTTAAATACACATCAATTACACAGTCCCTACAATATTTTATTAACACATATTTCAAATACAAATATAAAATGCAGTCTTGTGTACCTTTGCAGAATCTCTATTAAAACTTTATTTTACCCTTTGTCTCTGAAAAAAAGTTGCTTATAAACAAAACAAACAACCTCTTGTTTAAAGTCCTTATAACTTCCCTTTGCTTTGTCTCTTCCTTCCTTATCAATTCTAGCCTTTTTACCCCCCCCTCTCAATCTCCCACTTTTTAATCTCCCCTCTCTGTTGCATTCCTCTTTTCCATTGCTTTCTATCATTATATCGATTTTTCACCTTTCTTTTCCCTTTCTTAATTGTTTTTTTAGAGCTTAAATTCTTGATTTTCTTCTCCTTTTTACCCTTTTTTGAAATCATATGTCCATTAAAGATGGCTTCTTCTTCATCGTCCCAGCCTCTTTCTTGTTGCATTTCCTGGTAAGCACAAATCGCCATTTCTAAAAAGCCAAAAATAGATCCAAAAGAGCCATCTTCCTCTTGTTTTAATTTTTCAAACTGCATTTTCAATTCTTCAAAAGACACCATTGTAAACAGAAAAGGATTTATTTTATTTTTTTTAAGCAGTCCAAATGTTTTCTTAGTCTTTCAAAAGATAGTTAAAGTCCCAAAGTCATTTGCTCTTCCTGGGGGAGAATTCAATTACAAAATTCCAAGACATTTTTTGGAAGTTTTATTACAGTTTAGTCTCTAGTCTTATAAAACTCCAAGCAGTCTCCTTCAACAAACGTTAGTATAAATCATTTATCTCTCTTCCTTCCCCCTTAAAGCAAAAAGGTTTGAGTTTTAAAGAATCAATATTTGAAAATATAATTTCCCCTTGGCTTCAATTTTGAAAGTTAATACCTTCTATTGCCAATACGGGTGTTTCAGGTTTCCATCTGCTGCCTCCGTGGGAAGGAAAGTGAGAAAAAAGAAAAGGTTTTCCCTTACTCATCCACCGCAGCTTAACGATCCTTTGGAAAACAATAAATCACTTGAAAAGCCAAAGTTCCAGGGTATTCAGATGTTAATTGTTGTCCCGGTTCAGCCAAAAGCTTTCTCTGTTTTTTTTCCTCCTTCAGCACCCCTCCTGCGCAATCTTTTCCCGGATGCCAGCCTCTTCATGGCGGCCATAAGACCGTCGCTACAGCATCTTAAGAGAAGGAGGTTTAAACTGGGTGCGGGGGGGGGTCTGCGGCACCCCCATACCCCTCCCCAGATCCTCTCCCTATCTTCGGCTGTCCCTACAAGGCAGCCTTATCCTCCAAATCCATCTGGATCGGAGGCACCAAGATGGTGAGCACAGCGGGGATCGCGAAGAAACGCAAATCCCTGCTGTCACCAAGGCTGGCAAGCGGAAGTCCTTTCCCAGATCTTTTCCACATTATATGCCGCTGGTTTAGAGACTACAAGAAAACAGTAGATGCTAAGATAAGAGATGAAATGTTCCAGTTCCAAAGAAGAGTGTGTGTGTGTATGTGTGTGTGTATACACAAACACACGCGTGAATGAAAACTTACTGCAGAAACAATAAACCTGATCGGATTAGAACAAGCCACCTCCAGCAAGACTTGACTTTGAAACAGTCATACCGTGTTTTCAGCACAGCACAAATGACATTAAAAGATATTGAAACAGAGTGGTACAATTTTGTTCTTGCTTGAGAAGGGCATCTTGCCGGGAACATCCTGCATTTGTTTCCTTTTTCTATTCAAATGTCATCTGCTTCCATAGAAAGGAAGAAAAAAGGATTTCATTCTGCCTTAACTTGTTTGCTCCTTAATATAAGACTCTAGGATTTAGCAGTGGCATATAAATCTATAAAGTATCTCTGATACTCTCCTACTGTTTTTTTGTTCTCATTTAATTAGGTAGCCACTCTGGTTTTGTGCAGTTATTCCAATGGGCTATTATTGTGGTTGCCACTTATATTTAGCGCATATCTGCAGTAACGTCTTTGTTTCTGATGTTGTGTTCATAGGCAACTTGTTTAGACACGATCCAAAGAAGTCTCCTGAAGACCACCAACATTCTTCGTCAGCAACTTGCCACTGATCCTGACAAAGAAACCAGAATCAAAGAGTATGAAGCCTGGTCTTTGCTTCTAAAATAATTGACTCAGTTAATTTTCAGATGATGGGATTCCTCTGTATATAAGTGCAGGAATATCATTACTTGATATAATGTTGTCTTTGATTTAAATTCACTCCCTTTATGTTGTTCCGAAAATATTTGCATACCCAGTATATAATTAGCCTGGGCAAAATGTATTATTTTGTATGTATGGTGTATGGATAAAGCTATTATAGAGCTGTGGTGGTGCTGTGGTTAGAATGCAGTATTGCAGGCTAATTCTGCCAACTGCTAACAGTTCAATCCTGACCACCTCAAGGTTGACTCATCCTTCCATCCTTCCAAGGTCTGGAAAATGAGGACCTGGATTGTTGGGGGCAATATGCTGACTCTGTAAACTGCTTAGAGAGGGCTGTAAAGCACTGTGAAGTGATTTTTAAGTCTAAATGCTTTTGCTACAATATATATACATATATATATATATATATATATACATACATATATATATATATATACACACACACTTGTGGACTGGTTTTCCACTAGAATATTTGATAGTGATTGATTGGTAAACAATTAAAATACCCTTAGTCCAAACTGCTACTGTAATTGGTATTGAGAACATTTACAGCTTTGGGCACTGTGTGAAAAATGCTTTTCAGAGTAATTTCTCCTGCACCCCTTCCTCCGCGGTCCATTTTTATCGCTAGTTTAAACAGTTAAAGGGAAAAGAGCAAAAAGGAATATTCCGCTCAATCTGTCTTCTCCTTTTTTTTAAAGGTGCCGACTTCAAGTATATTTGCGCCTGGAGATATGCCTGCAATGTCCTTTTTTGCAAAATAACCCAGACAGAATGGGGCAGCTTGTGCAAGAGGTAAATAAAGTGTGTGTGTGTGTGTGTGAGTGAGTGAGGGGGGGAGCTTTCTTGAGTCCTGGAAAGTAAGACTTTGTTTTTTACTTTGAGTGTCATGGATTTGGGGACTTTTTACTCTCTTGCAGATGACGGAGTTACTTAGGATGTTGTGCTTGACTAAAGATCCAGGATACCTCAGCGGTTTTCTGGAAGAAGTTGTAGACATGTAAGTGATGAAAAGTCGGAGGCAATTGATTCGTATTTATGATTGTTGAGGTCTCCCAAGGTCTTGGGATCAACTTTTGAAACCTTCTGACAAGCAAAGTCAATGGGGAAACCAGATTCACTTAACAACCGGGCTACTAACTTATCAACTGCAGTGATTCCTTAACCACTGCATCAAGAAAGGTCTAAAAAGGGGCCAAACTCACTTAACAAATGTCTCACTTAACAACAAAAATGTTGGGCTTCATTGTGGTCACAAGTCAAGGACTACATGTACATAGCTTGGTACATAATTTTGGCCAAGATTTAAATCCTCTGGTTTTGTGCTTCTCCCTACAGCTATTTGGAGTCTATGCCCAAGACTCTTGGTGATTTGTACTACAGTCTGGGAACAGAGATTCCTGCTAAGTTAGCTTCCGTCCTCCCAGAGGATTTCTTTAGTGATAATTCCATCCCTGAAGAGACACAGACTTCATCCCTTCCTGCCTCTGCCGCCTCTCTTCCACTCTCTAAAGCAGCTTCTTTAAGTGCTGAAGCAGACGAGCTGGAAGAACTACGCACCCGATCTGCCAAGAAACGGTAGGTGTACGTCAGAAAAGGCAATTGACAGTCTGGAGTTTAATTCAGGCTAAAATGTAAGCGCAACTTTGCATGATCCCCTAACAAAATGTTCTGTCTACTTTTTTCCCCCAATGTTTCTTCTGCTTCTGTAATTAATTTCTATATAGCCACAGTATTGGTTGGGTTATTGGGTGGAAAACAGAGTTGGGTTGTTATCTGTTGGGCTTATTGTGTGGGAATATTCTGAAGTCATTCGGGGCCCAGAAACTCAGTCTTGTGCACCTTAAAAACAGGCTTGCTTCATAATGGAGAAGGGAAGTAGACGTCCTATATCTTAAAAACAGGAGCTAGAATCTAAATGTTTTTGCTTCATTTGCCGAAAACATTTGTCTTCTGGTTTCAGAAAGCATCCGTTAACCAGACATAGGAGTATCACAGAAATGTCGCAGAATTTACGCCAGATAGAAATTCCTCAAGCATCCTGGAACCACAGGAGAAAGGTGAGATTTCCAGTTGGGAACAAATGGCTTGCAAGATTAAAGGGAGGGAAACATGCACAACTGTTAAAAAAGGCAACTCTGTTTCATAAAGAGTCCTTTGGAAAGTGATCGTTTTTGAGCATAGAAGAGAGAGGGGTACTTTATTTTCTGTAGAACTTGGAATGAAGTCGTTTTTATTCACCGGTATTCATTTTCCACTGACGCCTTGTAAATGATGTGAATTTTGCAGCCTTTCTAACGCTGTGTTCTAAATTTTCAGGACACTTCTCATGTGCCCCTGAATGCTAAACTGGCACCCATTTCCAAGAAAATGGGAGTGCAAGGTATGTCTTCTTTCCTAAGTTTTTGTTGCAAGATTGGTTTCTCTCGACATGTACATGTATCCATCCGAACTAGACTGTTGTTTCTCTGTATCATATATTGCATGTAAGGTACATACATAATTTTGCATTTATTTATCTTGTCATGTTTATGTTTATATTAGAGGTGAAGACCCTTTGAGAGCTGCATGCAACATAATTTCATTTTAATGTATCTAGTGTACATTCAAAGTGACAATATTCTATTCTAAGCAGGAAGTGAGGTGGTCTTTCTCTCAATATTACAGGGAGGTATGATATTAGACGGTGACTGCATGTCCTAAAAACAACATTCTCTCAATGAATATATTTTTTAATCACAGTCACTGACCAGAATTGCAAACAAACAAAAAACATTGAAAATAAAACAAAGCTAGATAAAACACTGCAGTTGGTGGCAGGTTCATCAGTGTATAATTGAAATATACCTATTTTGCAAGCAGCATAACAAAATTTAGCTAGATGCAATGAGATGTTTGTTTTAAAGATATTTTACTGATGTTTTTCTTAAATATCTTATTGATTGGTTTTGTCTAGAATATGCTTGCACACTAGAAAACCTTTTGTTTTTGTTGATTTCAGAAGTGACAAAGGTGAGAAGAAATCTTTTCAATGAAGAAACTCTATCTCTGGGTAAAAGTTCCTTACCAAAGATGGTTCGGAGCCAGTCAGTTTCCATTTTAGAAGATCTAAAACATAAACGCAGCAGATCTAAAGAAGATATTAGAGGTAAGAGAATAATGGATAGAATACTAAGAGGGTTGAAAAAAGTTCAGTTGGCCTAAATTGCTCTTATTCCATTAATAACTTTTTATTTACAGTGACTATATTACTTATTGTTTATATGTACACTGAGCTTATGCACTGGAGATAAATTCCTTGTGTGTCCAATCATATTTGGCCAATAAAGAATTCCTGTTCTGTTCTTTTCTAGCATATTTTTTTTGTCTAGCATAGAATTTTTTTTCACAGCATTATATTTCCTATATTCTCTAACCCCTATTTAGAAGAGCTTTATAGCTCCCGCTGTCTTAAGAAAGTTCAAAACATTCTTGGCTTCCGGTTTGCAAGGCTTCGGCGGCGGCAGGAATCCGTGATTGTGCGTGGTTCCTGCTGCGCTCACTGCTGAAGTGCCTCCGATCCAGCTGGATCTGGAGGATAGGGTTGCCCTGTAGAGGCAACCGAAGATAGAGGAGATCCGGGTAGGGGCTTGGGGGTATCGCAAACCCCCTCTTCAGCCGGCTAAACTCCTTTTTCCCAAGGCGATGGAGCGGCAGTTAGCAATGGCCGCCACAAAGAAGCCTGCAGCCAGGTAAGATTGCAGAAGGAAGTCGGAGAAAGTGAAAGTTTTTGGCTGGACTGGGACAACAAGGAACCTTTAAACATTCTGGAAATTTAATCGCTTGAATGATACATTGTTTCCCAAGAAGACTGTAAAAGCGGCAGAAGAAAATTGAAAGGGAAAGTTATTTTTTTCTCACTCTCCCTCCCCACGGAAATAGCAGATGGAAATCTGAAAAACCTGCTTGGGCACAGAAGGTAACTAAACTTGAAATTTAAAGCTAAGGGGATAAAAGATTTCTGAACATTGGAATTAAAAACTAATATTTTTTTTTGCTATAAGTGGGAGCGAAGAGGTAAAGAACTTATTTTTTAAGATTGCACTGAAGGAGACTGCTTGGAGTTTATAAGACCAGAAATAAATGGCAATAAGACTTCTAAAAATTACTTTGGAACTGTGTAATTGAATTCTACCCCAGGACAAGAAAATATAAAAAGAAGAAAGTGCTAAATAAAACAGTTTGTTCTGATTTGGATTGCTTTGTGACTTTGGGATTTTTGGGAACTATTTCTTGAAAGATTAAAAACATTTGGGTTGTTCTTTAAAAAAAATGGCACTATCCGTTGAAGAATTACAAATGGAATTTCAAAAGCTAAAAGAAGAGGAACAAGAAGGCAAGGGCTCTTCTGGATCTATTTTTCACTTTTTAGAAATGGTGATTTCTACCTACCAAGAAATACAACAAGAAGGCTGGGATGAAGAAGAAGAAGCCATCTTTAATGGACAAATAATCTTAGTTGAGGAAGAAAAGAGAAAAGGGGGAAAGAAAATGGAGAACTCAGAACTTAAAAAAGCAACCAAGAAAGGGAAAAATAAGATGAAAAATCGATACAATGTCAGAAAGCAACAGAAAAGAGAAATACAACAGAGAGGGAAGATTAAGAGAGTGGAGTTTGAGAGATGGGGGGGCAAAAAGGCTAGAATTGATAAAGGAAGGGAAAAAGGAAAGAAGTCATAAAGGTTTAAAACAAGATGTTTAAAAACAGGTTTTTTTTCAGAGACAAAGGGTAAAATATAATTTAAAAAATGATTCTGCAAAAGTATTGTAAGACTGTATTGTAGATATTAGTATTTGAAATTGAGTTAGAAAACTGAAATATATGACTTAATAATGCATTAAAAGGAATGTATAAAAATGTTTAAGATTTAACAATAGAGTTTAACTTCCTATGGAATATTGTTTTTACTATATTATAAACTTAATTCTCTTTTTTTGTTTTATTATTCTAAAATGTAGTACTTAGAATGTACTAAGCAGAATCAGTATGGAAAGTATGTATTATTTTAAGTGTTAAATTTAGGGGAAAGATAAAAAGTTGTCATACTTCAACCAGTGATTACAGGAGAAATATTGTATTAGAAAGAAAAGATAAATAGATAATTGAAAGAGAACGGACAAAAGATGCAAGTATAATTATTTAAACTGAGATGAATTAAATAAAATAGAATTAAGAGAGTGAATAGAAGAGAGAAAATATATAGAAAATATAGAATGTTAAATAAGATATGAAATAGTATATTAAGTGAGCATGAATTTGATTTATGTCTGTACAAAAAGATGTAACCCGGGGTAAGCCGCTTTCCAAAAAGAAGTTTTATGTATTTATGTTTTGTGTTTTGTTTGTCTATGTTTGAATTAATAAAATGCTAGAAAAATGTTGGAAGAGAACGAAATTGTAAATAAGACAGATGGATACAATGAATATATACAATCCAAGGCAAAAGAAATATTATTGAATAGAAGGAAAGGGAGAAATAAAGAGAAGTTGGGAAAAGATATGAAGTTGAACAGATAAGATAAATATACATATTAAATTGTGCTTGTATGGAAATGTGATAATTTGGAATTATCCTGTCTTTAAATAAGATGTTTTATTTGTTTTTCAGAAAAGATGTCTTACGTTATTATATCCTACGTTTTGTTTGTTTGTGTATTGTTTTTTAAAATTAATAAAAAAAAAATTTTTTTTTAAAGAAAGTTCAAAACATTCTTAAAGATTCATCCTGGGCACCTTTTTTTGAACTATTGCCATCTGGCAGATGGTACAGGACAATAAAAACAAGGACAAACAGGCTGAAAAATATCTCCTATCCCAGAGCAGTGACTATATTGAATTCTACTGTATAGTGCAATATTAATGCAATGCCAGGGGGTTTAATTCAATTGTATAGAATATGTTTTAAATTTAGTTTTATAGTTTTCTTATATATAATGTACACTGAAGATGGCATTTAATTTCGTATGAGGTGCAATGACAATAAAGTAAAGTACATCTGATAAAGTGGAGTTCATTCACTATATGGGAAAATGTGATTGTGTTCAAGATGCTACATATTTGTCATGATAACATGGGGGAGTAGCAGCTGCTTTTAATATAAATTCAGTCCTGGAAAAAGAATTCCTGTCCTTGCTTCCTGAACAGGAGGCAGATTGCTTACTTAAGTGTAATAGTATTTCTCTACACAACTTACTGTGTTCCAGCTCATCACAAGCTATTGACCAAAAGGGTGGCAGAAACCCCTTTGCACAAGCAGATGTCCAAGAGGCTGCTTCAGAGGCAGATTACAGGCCGGTGAGTGAAAGCTTCAGATTCATTTAATCGCAATTTACCGATCTTACTTTGGAATAAAGTGAAAATTCCTTTCTTTACTTCTACACCTCTTATTGCTCCACTAAAACATTCTTTTCTTCAAAGGTGCTCAGATCCTGGGTCTGATGTTGGCATTGTAGAAGAATCTCCTGAGAAAACCATAACCTGTAAGTACTGGTTGACAGGCTATTTCTTTGCAAATCAAAGTGGCTCTAGATTTGAGAGAGTGCAATTAAAATTATCTTCATTAGCAGAGCAAGAAGGGGAAGTGTTCTAACCTTGGCCTGTTATAGATTTCTTTAGCTTATACACCGGATGTGGTCTGAACAGGAATTTGAGAAATAGCAATAGTACTTAGACTTATATACCACTTCACAGTGCTTTACAGCCCTCTCTAAGTGGTTTATAAAGTCAGCCTCTTGCCTCCAACAATCTGGATCTTCATTTTAACAACCTTGAAAGGGTGGAAGGCTAAGTCAACCTTGAGCCAATCAGGATCGAACTGCTGGCAGTTGTCAGAATTAGCCTGCAGTCCTGCATTCTAACCACTGTGCCACCATGGCTCTTATGACTAAATTCTGGCTTTGGGCAAGAGCCATGCATCAGATACAGTATTATTATCTCAGCTGCTTTCATCTTTTGAAAAAGCAGCCAAGTCACAGGATGAAATAGAGACTCAGCCTTTCTACGGTGGTAGGAAGTGGCTCCAATTTCATCTAGATCATTATGGGGTGTGTGTGAGAGAGAAAGAGACAGTTTAAAGGACACTGAGTGACACTAACCACAGCCCTTTCTAATCCAAGTTAGTGTTATTTCTGTCTCTTAGTGGTAGTGTCTATTTGCTAGAGGCAAAGATCAGCAGTCTTCCATCTTGCCAATTTATGCTTCTGAAAAAATGATAGCATCCAAAGAATTCTTCATGAGATTTGAAGTGTTATAAGTGAGGCTTCCAGTCCTCATTATTTTCTTCCAAGGATGACATAATCTAAATCAAGCATTAATGCTCCTTGATTCTCTCCCCTTTTGTTCTCTCTTCCTAAAAGATGGCTTAAGAAGTCCGCGGATCAAGCAATTGATGCAGGATAAATTTCTCTCCAGCAACATCCACTCCCTAGAGCCAAACAAGAGGAACACACCACAAGTGCAGTCTGCGCATCTGGAAGAACCAGGTGAGGAAGGAGATCTAATAGGGATGTAAGCAAGGGAGAGATTGAGTTTCCTGACTTGTACCAGTATTTATGTTTGTACTTGTATCAGTATTTATACTTGTATCAGTATTTATGTTTGAACGGGTTTATTTTTGATGACCACTTTAAATTGAAACCACAGCCTTTCCTATTTTCTAATACAGAGTAGACAACTGCCAACCTTCCATATATTGTTTCACTGAAGTTATCAGCATCCCTCACCAATGACTAGGCTGGCTAAATGATGCTAGGAGGTGTAGTTCAGTAGTATTCAGAAGGACACAGGGTTTTTGTTTTAATTCATCACAATAAATGGTAATATTAGGTAGAGTTTGTCCTGCAAACTTACAGGCACAGTTGCTTAAGCTTGTCTAAACTGTTTTATTCACAGGTCTGGCTTCACCTCCCGTAAAAGCCCCCCAATCGCCAAAGAGTATACTTTTTAGAGAAGTTTTGGGTGGATTTAGTTTGGGGAGAAGGAGCTCTCCCCAAATGAGAAGAAAACAACTTGCCTTTGATGAGCCTGTTCCTCAGGTAGAATTGCCATCTCTCTATTTTTCTCAATACTTGTCTGCTTCTTTTTATTAATCAAATGTATATAGCCACCCATCCCACCAAAGTAATTCTGGGTGATCATCAACACTGTTTTCCCCAGTTTCTTTGCTCTTTTTAAAAGTTCTTGGATCTAGACTCTAATTTATCCATTTACAAGGCATCTGCTTGGCAATTGTACACCTAAAAATAATCTCAGCCTACTGATAGGTAATATAGTCTTCATTGGGTGTTTATCTAAAATGTATTAGAATCCAATGAATATAAAATTGCTATAATTGAAGAAGATACATGCCATTTTTAAAGAGGGTTGTTATATGAGTTCCAGCTATTCTACAAAGCAATTATTACACACCGCAATTCTGCTAAGATCTTTGTTTTCACATTTCTTGAACACAATGATCTTCATGCTTTAAAAAGTGCACAGCCTATCCTGTTCTCACCGTATCTCTGATCTTCTTCCATGCTTCTTTCACAGGCACCAGGGAAGAATTCTTTTCAGTCTTCCCAGGAGCTCTTAAATCCCAAGGGCAGCACGCTGAGAAGATCTCCTCGGATCCAAGAAAGACAGACTCCCCAGAAAACTCCAGCCCTTAAAAACTCTGTGGCCAAATGTTTGGGAAATCTTTTCTCTCCTCCAAGACAGAAAAGCAAATCCTTGCCTACATCCACTGAAAGTCAGGAATCCCGTCTGCCTTGGATTGTGGAGAAGAAAGATGGGCATCCTTCCTCACCCAAGGCAGCAGAACTCCAAACTCCAGAGAAGCCACCACTCTCTGACATGCTGGATGATGTGTTTGCTTTGCCTGCAGATGGTCCCGATTCACCCATCGTTCTGTCACCTCCTTCATCCCCATTTGCTCTTCAGTGGAAGTTGTGCTCAGAACTGCAATCCCCAAGGAGTTCCGTGAGCATCGCCCCACAAATAATGCCTACGGTTTTGGCGGAGAACCAGACTTTTGAGATACGAAGAAATACCTGTCCTGAGCCAATCTCATCGGTGAACTTCCCCTCTCTGTTGCCATCATCTGCAGCCTTCAAAGGCACACATCCAGAACTGGGTTTGACACACATCCAGAATAGTCCAAATATTAGGACTATTTCTGAATCTGCTTCGGAGATTTGTCCTCCTTTCCAATTTAACGGGATCTCTCCATCTTGTAATGGGTCCGCAAAAGCTGAGAGCCCTTGCACGCTCTCTCCAACTAGGGAAAAGCTGGGGAGAAACTCTTGTAGTCCCCAAGAAACCCAGAGTGTCAGAAAGATCTCCCCAATAACTGCCCTTGGCTCCCCTCCTTCCTTGCCCAGAGAGGAACATCCCTCTATGGGCACCAGAAGTCTTGTTGCTGAAACCAGCCCATTTATTAAACCTGAAGACAGTGCTTCGTTGGGCCAGAGACCCGAACAAATAACTAAAATAATAAGTCCGAGTAAGAGGAAAGGTTTAGAGAGATGCCTGTCACCTACGTTCTCTTCCAGTAATCCCATGCACTTTGCCCAGGCTGTAGTATTGTGCAAAAAATTGGTTCTCAACAAGCCTCTTTCAGATGATTCTCATGTAGATCCAGGCTTCAAGAGTAGCATTTCTTCCACAGAGGATGCTGCGGATGGGCAGCCTCTGCTCTTCTCAAGTCCTTCCAGACAAGATTGGGACTCCCCGCTTGCGATCTCAAAGCGAGGGTCTGGTGCCTATGCGTTGCGTTGCACCGCCGACAGAAGGCAACGGGAAGCTGCCACACGGCTGGAGGAGGAGAAGATGGCCACCTCTAAAACTTTCGGGGCCACAGCTACACCGCTGACCTATGAGGTTGAGCTTGAAATGCAAGCGTCTGGTCTGCCGAAGCTCCGTATCAGAAAAGTGGCTTCCGAGGCCACCCAGCAGCCTCTCGATTTGTATGACAAACTCAGGGGGGAGGAAAACGGTCACCCTGTGGGGGATATTTCAGTGGCCTGGTGTAGTAGGCACCCGGAGAAATTGGAACCCATGTCCATCTCACCATCCTGCATTCGCTCTGCCCACAATACCCCTGGGAAGTTTGGGATTGGCGGGCAGACTTACATATGCCATTCCTATTCCCCCACTCTCTGGACCTCATCTACAACCTCCCCCTCCCAGAGCAGCGCTGGCGTCCCTTGGACCCCATCTCCAAAATGTAATGGGAAGGTTACCCCCGAGGCCATCAAAGATTGGCCACGAAGGAAAAGGGCCACGGTGGGCTACAGCAGAAGCGAAAGGCTGGCAGAAGCAGTTGAAGAAGAGCCAGCTCCACCTCCTGGGACCCAGGAACCATTAGAACTCTTCAGTAGCAGAAAGGTTCAGCTCTTGGGAGACCCAGAACTTGAAGGAATTGATAAACTTCAAGATCAGTCATTTGGCAGCGATACAGAAGGCAATAAGGATGAGAACATCTGCAGAAACACTCTGGTGCTAGAGTCCAGAAAAAGGGCTCAGGAGCAGAGAACACTGGGTGAGCAGGCTAGCCAGGAAACAAAAAGGCTATGCCTAATAAAAGAGAACCCCGGAGCAGCTGTCTACTCAACCGAACAGCTGAGCATGGGACAACAGACTGTATCCTCAAAGTCAACCATCTTGGAGGACATCTTCAACTTCTCAGGTACTTTTGGGCTGATCATTCCTACTGTTGTCCTGTCAAGGCAGCTGTAATGACTGGGGTGTGATGCAAAAGCTACACAGTCAGAATAATAAGTAGGGGTCTCTTTAGCTCCAACTTTGCTCCCAATGTCCCGGTTACCTTCCGGTCTGGAGAGAAAACTCTTCAGGAACCTGCAACAGTCTTTGACTACAGATATTCCACTCCAAAATGTTATAAACAGACAATTTTAAACTATGAATTCAGTAAGACAAGATAAGGTAATAAATCCAGCTGGGCAAGATAAGGAGTTCCAGAAGTGAAGTAACACAGCAATAAATCAAACCAGTTGGGAGGATGCCAGGAACTCATATAACAGCAGCCAACACAAGATAAACTCAATGTTTATTCCTGACAAACGCCCCTCCCAACTGGTTCTCCTTTAAACTCCCTTCCCAGGTGTGCCTTGTCATAAACCACGCAACCCACATTGCTCTCTTCCCCATTCTTCCCTGCATGCCCTAGGATGAAGAGGAGGTGGGCCTTGGTCTTCTGAACCCCCTCTCCCTTGTTCTACCTCTTCCCTGCTCTGCCCAACCTGATTTTGTCCTTCCCCAGTGTCCTCCACAGCCAACGGAGCCATTCTTCCACTCCGTCAGCTGTTCGTCTACCTCAGACTCTGATGGGGGCATGACAGCAGCTATTAAATATAAGTCCCATCTGCCAGACCTTTTCATACAAGTCTAGTTAAGAGTACAAACCTTTGCAGGAATCCCAATTAAAAATATTTCTAAGCATGTGGTTGTTCAGACTCTCTCGGACCTTGGTTCATTTCTGCTGGGGTTTGTTGATGTCCTGAGAAGGGACCTTGAGCCTGGAGCCTGATCTTTAATTTTAATGAGATACCAGGATAAACCTATGCAGAGCTCCTGATATCTTGCTTTACTTTCTACTTATGGCCGGTGGACTCCATGAAAGCCATTTTATCTCCTGTAAAGAGCTCCTTAGATTGTCCTCCAGTGCTAGATGCAATTTTCTTCAATTAAGTTTAAACCTCCTGTTTTTCCAACTCCAGATATGACTCCACCCAAATCTTCAGGAAATGGTGTGATCTCTGCTAGTGGTCTGTGGGCCCTGGAACAGTCCCCACTCCTCTACAAAGGCCCTCATGCAACCCAGAGGAAGTGCCCCAACGGTATGCCAATTTGCATTTCAAACCCTCAGTGTAATGAGCAACAACATTTCAAGGGAGCTAAATTTCTTGCACACAATGTTGCGATGAGGCAAGTTCCCGCGCCCTTCACCATCAATCTGAGGTTTGCTTATTGGAAACATCCCTTGCTTTCTTTTGAGCCAAGAAAGGGTTTTTCAAGACCAGTAAATGCCTCTGCTCTCTCTGAACATGGTTTCAAAAACACAAGAACCGAAAATGATGCGAGGTGAGAAAGGCAAAAAAACAAACAAATTCAAGTGCTGGCTTTTGGTTACAATGGTCCTGGAGAAATATACAGCCTGAAGCAAAATTGTCTCTAGGCTTGATTTCCTGAGTAGCACTTGTTGCTGAAATGATGGCCTATGTGAGGTTAACTTTCCTCAATCCTGCCTTTGGATAGTAACCAGTTTTAAGCAAAAAACTTTGCAAATCCTGGTGCTGTGACCAGGGAATGCTTAAAACAGCCATAAACGTGGGCCAGTTTCTGAATGCCAAAATATGGCACTGTGGGGAGACAGCTGTCAGAACCAGGTCGTTAGTACTTCTTAAGGGGATCCATCATAATTTCAAAAGCTCGCTAAAAGCAACTGGTCTCTACCTGTATAGCCAAATTAGAATCGATAAATGGGAAGGATCTTGAGTCCTTTTCGCCTTCCTCTACACACTTCACACTAACCTAGAAAACAGCAAACTGTTTTTCATTTTTCTTTTGAAAAGACCTTTCCTTAAGAAAGCTAGAAAGTCCTACACACCAGTGGTGGGATTCAATTTTTTTTACTACTGGTTCTGTGAATGTGGCTTGGTGGGTGTGGTGTGGCTTGGTGCATGTGGCAGGGAAAGGTTACTGTAAAATCCCCATTCCCTCCCCACCCCACTAACCTGCTGTCCAGTTCCATTCTCCTGTGCAGGGCAACCAAAGAAGACTCAGCCAATCAGCCAGGACTTGGGAGGCGGGGAATAGATGGGGGCGGGGCCAGTCAGAGGTGGCATTTGCCGGTTCTCCAAACTACTCAAAATTTCCACTACCAGTTCTCCAGAACTAGTCAGAACCTGATGAATCCCCACCTCTGCTACACACCTTTCAAACAAGTGATGAGTTCCCCCACCCCCACCCTTGCTGTTCTTAACAGTGTTCCGTTGGGATTTTTCACACTGATTTTTTCCTCTAGGGGAAGACCTGGATATGTTTGGAGCGGCATACGAGGACTTGTCTCTTTTCCGCAGCACGCCTGCCAGAAAGAGATCCATTACCAGGACCTACTCACGGAAAAGGCCACTCTGCTGAAATGAAATGGCCAGCGGGAATATTTTGGAGCAAGACCTTCAATCTCTTTGGGACAAATGCTGCAATCCAAATCAGGATTCAGTCACCACAAGGGATCGCTTGTGCATGGCTGGCAGTGATTCATGGCTGAGTTCCAAGAAGAGCAAAAATTGAATTCTGTATTTCAGGGCTCTCCAAGCTTGGCCCCCTTAAGATGTGCGGACTTCCATTCCCAGAATTCTGGGAGTTGAAGTCCACAAGCCTTAAAGTGGCCAAGCTTGGAGACCCCTGCTATATTTTATATAGGGTTTTTTTTAAAGTAAGGGCTATGCCACTGTATGGCCTTTGCAAAGTTTTAAGAGGAATGCCCAGAACCGAGAGCAGTGAAAGCAACCACTTTTAAATTGTTCTTTTGTAAAATAAATTAATTTCTTTTGACAAACTGATTTTTCAAATGGTCACTAAAGGTTTAGCACATCTTAGATTCATGCTTAAATAATCCAAGGCTCTAACTTTGACTCAACCACACTTTTGAAGTCCTAATCCTGAACCTGTTGGCTGTATCTGGGGGAAAAGAAAAATCAAACACCCCTTTAGTCAAGTTTATGATCAAACCTTCTCAGGCAGGGATAAACTGTAGACAAATTTACAAAATAGCTACTCTAGTTTATTAAAAGTACAGTCCAAAAAGCTACTTAAAATATGTGTACATATTTGCAAAGAGATCAAATTTACTGTCCCTTTGTTTAAAATGGCATCCGTTACGGGAAATCCAGATCTGCAAAGAAAAGTTTCTGTAAAGAATGGAAACAACCAGTTTCACTGTAAAAGGCAACTACAGGTGAAACTCGAAAAATTAGAATATTGTGCAAAAGTTAATTTCAGTAATGCAACTTAAAAGGTGAAACTAATATATGAGATTGACTCATTACATGCAAAGCAAGATAGTTCAAGCCATGATTTGTCATAATTGAAAACCCCAAATCCACAATCTCAGAAAATTAGAATATTGTGAAAAGGTTCAATATTCTAGGCTCTTAAGTGTCCCACTCTAATCAGCTAATTAAGCCATAACACCTGCAAAG